TTCTCAAATGTTGTAAAATGATGAAATGATGTTCTTATGTACAAAAAAATGAAAGAAAAAACAGAAACAAATACTTAGTTCAACGTTTGCATGTATGTACATGGGGTAAGATTTGGTTTGTGATGAAACTGGTATCCATAAGTACGTACATCGTACATACAACTATTTGTTGATTTTACATAATACACAAAATCCCACATTTGCAGACAATTAATTGATCAACTTGTAATTTTGGTGGCAACATTACCGTTCACGTACCTTGTTTCAGAGCTAGGTTTACAATTCATGTCTTGCTCAAGGACATACTGTAGCAGCCAGTCACCAAAACACGATGTTAAAACACGCGTGCATGGCATTTTTGTTAGTTTCAATGATGATTATTTTTCAATACCTTTACAAGAATAAATAATAAAACAATATTGAATACTTTCAAGTATAATTTTGGCTCAAAAGGTAGTTTTATAGTCAGTAATAACTTGAAAGTTAAAAGTTACAAATTTCTCGTCTTGTTAACTCCATATGGAGAACAGGTCGGTATAGGTTTGATAATATGGCTTCACACTTTTATTATCCACACATTTCACACAAAGAACTATGTCGCTATCTTGGTTTTTACATATGAATGTATACACATGAACAATATCAACTGTTTCTAAATATGCAGTTGTGGCTGCTTAAACCTAACATGTTTAATTCGGAGACAATACTAAGCTTTAAAAAAAAAAATACCAGATTATTTTTCGTCTGTTTTGAGCAACCTTTGAAGGAAATTCGGCGAGCAGCAAATTTTGGTTTTAACAGAGTCCAGTGAGTGTTAGCATTAAGAGAAAATGTACTTCTTTTCTTCAGTCTCTCAACCACGTGCCTTGTCATCTACGTTGTAAAAGAACGTTTTTATTGTCTAGAATGTAACATTGAAAGTCATAAATACATCAGTGCGTTGAGTAAATGCTTTTGTTTGCGCAAAGTTTAGGAGCCGCGGTTGTAAGTCTATTACTTTGTATCCCCCCTACCCCATCCTGCCTGCAACCCAAGGTCCCCAATACCCATTGGCTTTTGTTTAGTTATGTTTTGTTATGTTTTTATTCACGGTACCAAAAGACGGTCACAGTATCAATATATCACTTGTAATAGTACACTGAAAGAAGACAATTATGACTTACTTGATTACAAGATCATATCGAAATGAATAAGTGAAAAAATAATAGTCTAACACACTCATTGCATAACCAGGGGAACGAAGAAGTCTTTTCCTTGTGTACAAATTTAGCTATATAGAAGTCGAGTGAGATAAACAAACTTGGGCAGTTGGGTCAACATTTTGCATGAATTATGGCCCCTTCGAGTTGAGTTTCAAACTGGTTAACTTAAAGCAAAAGCTGGTTTTTGACATTATACCCCTGAACAAAAAGCCTTTTCATTTCTTTTACTCCTCCATGATCCAATCTCTACTACATCTTTACCTAATTTACAGAACGTAAACATGGTGTTCTTTAGAGTCCAGTTATCTTTCTTTAAGAAAAAAGGGCTCCGACACAGGATGCATGCCTTCACCCGCCCGCAGACTTTCACATACAACTGAAGTGAGCAAGCTAAATCTACAGTGACACACGTCTGTGACGTATGCAGTAAAAACGTCATTGACCTGCAGTATTGCTCTCGGTGTATAGTCAGAGGTCATTGACCTTTACTCATACCGTGCTCCCCCGTCTCTCTCTTTCTCTCTCTCTCTCTCTCTCTCTCTCTCTCTCTCTCTCTCTCTCACACACACACACACACACACACACACACAAACACACAATCTACAGTCATTTTTCATTTGATCTACCCTCACTGACACCAATTCTTTTCGCTACGCATGTATTGTTTATACTGTGTGCATGTTCTGAATACAAATTATATCTAAGAGAAACAAAAATCAGTACTCTAAGTAATAGTACTCTACGTGTGATTTTTGCTATGAGGCTGCTCGCTATGTACATGCTAGACACGAAGTGTTGGTGTGCTACTCTTATAATTCATAAGAAACATATGTAAAGATTATAGGAAAAACCCCCCGCAAAAAACAGACACCAGTACACATATCACGTGAGAATGAAAATTCCATGAAAGTAAAATCAGAACGCCAGTAAAATCTTCACATGTACGAAGACCAGAAAGCAAAATTCTTCAGCTGAGAAAGAAAAAAAATGCATTCTTTAAACAACTAGATCTTCGTTGTGCATATTTTCTTGCTTTTTTTTTCAACATTAACAAATTTTGTTTTCAACGAAATATATTTTTGAACAAGTGCATCTGATACTTCAGATTTAAAGAACTGTGATATTTTTCTTCTTCAAAATGATGGGTTTGTATAATCTGAACAGGTGGCCGATGATTAGTGTCGACTATGACGATGATAATGCTTCTGATGACGAAGATGCTGATGATGATGAAGATAATGATGACGATGATGTTTGTATTTAATGAGCACTTTTGGTCTAAGTAAAACTGGATCCTCTATTGAGGTCAGGTTGAAGAAGTGGTTATTAAGGAAGACAGTGTAAATAAGAGTGTGTTTCTTGTCTGCAAGCTTTGGCTGTGACAACTCTTAGACAAACTGCACGACACTTACAGAGACTGCTTTAGGAGGACACCACTCAAGATTGTTTTGTGCAAGGAACATAAAACAAGTATTAAAGTAAAAACAAAACAAAATCAAAAGAACAAAACAAATAATAAACAGTAACCTCTCTGTGGCAACGAGAAATGATGGGGTGGGGAATATGAACTAAATAGAGGTCACAGTGTGTGTTCGGATCATTCTGTCCGTTGAGCGAAAAAATATGTACAAATCAAAATCCTGTACGGGCTCCCGTGGTCTCTAGGTCCAGTGTTCTCCTCTTGTTCAAAAGGTCCCGGTATCGGAACCTGACAGCCGCGAAAAAACTTTCTTCTCCATATTATATTGTGTTATCCTTTCATGTCCTTTCCTGTTCTCTTGTCCTTTTCTGTCATTTCGTTACATCTCCACCCCCCCCCCCCAACCCCCAATAACCTTCCTTCTCTGGGTTCTCTCCCCTTTATTCTCGACTCTTTCTACTGCTTCTCCTGGCTACTTCTATTGCTGTCAGCCATCTTAAATAAGAGTGAAAAGTCTCTGAGATCCCTTGTGCAAGATTCGTACGTTTACGTTCCCTTGGTGGTCTGTAAAATTGATATGAATAGGTATCTGCCGACACATAGACAAAATTCAAAGCCAATTCCTACTTTGCTTTTACTTTACTTTTATCCACCGCTTATACCCGTTTGGGAGTCGCGGGAAGAAAGAGACCTCTCTCTGTCTCCAGCCGGAGAGCTTGGGTCAGGAGGATGCCGTGTGTGGTTAATGTTTCACTTCCTCGGTCGCCCTCTAGCCTTGTTGCCATCTAATTTTTTTTTTATGTAGGCACGTTGAGTTGGATGGTGTGTTGGTAATCGTAGTAGGTGTCCGAACCATTCGATTCTTTGTTATTGGAAGTGATGTTTGACATCATTTGTGTCCACCATTTATCGGATTACTGAGTTTCTAAGTTTGTCTCGCCTGATCTTGTTTACTGCATTTCTAAAACATCGCATTTCACATGTTGTAATTCTTTCCTCTAATGTCTTGTTCGTGGTCCATGTTTGGCATTGATAGGTGAGTGTTGGGATGAATATGGTATTGATGATTTTGAGTCTTGTTGTCATGGGGATGTTAAAATGTTTCAGTTGTGGAGTAAGCTGGTAACTAACATTATTTGCCTTTTGGATTCGTGTTTCAATTTCTCTGTTCAGTTGCCCACCATCTGTGAATATACTTCCAAGGTACTTCAATTCTTGTACCTGTCTGAGACTGTTGTTGTTGATGTGTATCCTGAGTGGTTCTGGCTTTTTGCTTACTTTCATTGTCTCTGTTTTGTTGATGTTGATCTTCATGTCGTAGTTGTTACATTATTCGTTTAATCTGGTGGTGTGGTGTTGGAGACTGCGTTCATCTTTGTGTGCCAGGCTTTGGTCACCAGTGAAGAGTAACTCATTTAGAACATCCGGATGTTATTTCGAACCATTCTGTGAGTCTCTCTGACGTTCTTACTGTACTTATGCAGTTCTTGTAAATGGCACGGATGTTATCTAGAAGTTGGCCTCTTACAGTGTAGAATTTTAGTTCTTTCCACAGCTTGTTTCTGTTCACTCTGTCAAGCGCTTTCGCCTGGTCGATAAATACTATATTTAGTTCCCTGTTGTGTTCTATTACCCTTTTGCACATTAGTTGTTGGGAAAATATTGCCTCTGTGCATCCTCTTCCCTTTCTGAATCCCATTTGGAGCTCACTCAGAAATTTTTCAACTTTTTGTCTCTTCGCCATTCCAATATCTTGTCGAACATCTTGCCCTCATGGCTAAGCAGTGAAATGCCTCTATACATTCCACAATCTCTCTTACGGCCTTTTTGTCTTCCAGATTGGTTTTATGGCCCCTTTTTGCCAGTTGCCAGGAACTTTTCTTTCTGTCCATGCTTTCTGGAAGATTTTTGTGAACCACGTTACTCCAGTTTCACCACATGCTAATATTATGTTCTCCGTGGTGAGCTCATCTATTCCTGCGCTTCTGTTTTTTGGCTTGTTTTAACTGCTTGTCTGACCTCTGATGGTAGGATGATTGGTTCCTCTTCCTCTGGGTGACTTTATTTGAGTTTTATGTTTGTTTGCTTTTGACTGGGGTTCAAGAGTTCTGAGAAATATTCCCTCCATCAAGATTTAATTTTGGAGCTGTCGATCATGAGGTTTCCTGTTTTGTCATTAATTATAACTGTTGGGTGGTACGGTTCTTCTCTGAGCCTCACTAATTTTACACTTCTGTAGAAGTCACGTGGTGATTTGTGGCTCAGTTCGCTTTGGTGTTCTCCATATTTTGTCCAAGATTCATTTTTTGATGTTCTAAAACTCTTTAGCAGTTCCTTCTTGCTAGTCTGTATTTCGTGTGGTCGTTTTCATCCTTGGATTTTTATCCATTTCTGAAAAAGTGTCTTCTTTTCTTTGATTACCTCTGTAACTTTGTCATAACACCATAGTATTCTTTTAACGTATCCTCTTCCCAATTCTCTTCTTCCCACATACCTCTATCAGTGTTTCTGTAACCAAGTTTTTAATGACAGTCCATGTTTCTTCAACATCCTTCGGTGTCTTGGTTTTCTAGTCTCTTCGTGATCTCGTCCTCAACTTTCTGCACATTGCCCTCTTCATTGAGTTTTCGTAAATTAATTTTCTCTGAATGTTTCTTATTATGTTTTCGCTCGGGTCTTTTTTTCTCTTTACTCGTCATCATCACTGGTCGGCGATCTGTATCAAAGGTGATGTTTAAGATTGATCTTGCATCAGTTGTTTTTGTTTTATAGGCGATTCGTTTTAGTTCGAAGTTGATCTGTGAAGAAATATCTAGGTTGTTCTATTTGTTCCATTACTGAGTTTGACTTGGCCAGTGCTGGTAAAAAGTATTTCTGATGTATAATGCATACTCCGCACAGGGAGCTAATAGTTGTTCCCCATTATAGTTACAATCTGAGCTGGTGTCACCGTGTGGTCCAATGTTCTTTTCCCATGGTGTTATTCTTGGGCTTATGTGTTTATTAAGGTCTCCCATTATGATTAGTTCCTCCTCATCAGGTACGCTGTCTATGGTGTCCTCCAACTTCTGAAAACATTCTTCTTTATCTTCCCTTGAGTATGTGTCGTTACAAGGGGCGTAGACTTGGACGATAGATTCCCTTTTTTGCGCTTTCTGTATTCTGATTTTCAAGATCGTTCCTGATATTAATTCTTTCCCTATAACTCTTTCTTCCGTGTCAGGTTGTATTATGAATCCCACACCACGAATAGCTATCTCTCTCTCTCTCTCTCTCTCTCTCTCTCTCTCTCTCTCTCTCTCTCTCTCACACACATATCTGCTCCACTCCATATTAGTACGTAATTTTCATGTATTTTCTTGGTTCCACTTCCTTTTAAACGGCAATCCGACAGTCCAAGTATTGGTATTCTCCACATTTTAATGAAAGTAATGAGTTTTAGTTCCTTGTCCTTTAAAGTTTTCGGGTCGTTTTCCGTCTGTATTAGTCCGTTTCTTTCTTCTACTTGTGTTTTTAGCTATAAATAATCCGCTGCCGACTTGCTAGGCCTGTCCCAGTTTCACCAGAGCCCCGTTAGCCTGCCACTTTTCGCGGTGACCCGGCTTCTCCTTCACGGCTAGCGTGACGACTCGGTGGCGTAAAGCCACACCGTACTTCGTTGAACCCAGCAATCCCTGACTTTGTTTAGTTTCCCGTGTCATGGACCTGAAGTAAATACTCTAGCAAGTTATATAAAATAATATGTATACGTATTTATATGTATATTTTTTTACTATAAAAAATATATATACATTCGTATATTTACTACCTTCGAAATGGGAATTTGCTTCCTGACGGTCACTTGGGTAAAAGTCAGTTGCACTGCAGGTTAAAGAACCAACAGTCGACTGTCCCTTAGATGTAAAAAGGAACGTAGAGAAGAAAGATACACAGTCAGATTCTAGAAACATGTAAAAGCTGCTACGCGTTGTCCTGTGTTTCTGCTTTTTCCCCTTCTGGAATCAAGTGCGACCAGACACGTTGTGTTAATTTATGTTGGCATAAGGACTGGTTCTTGGCTTCTTGTTTTTCTGCAAAGAAAGAAAAACCAACCTCTTGTTATCCTCCACACGGTAATCATTTTAGTCTTCTCCTCTCTAACATAGGCAGACAACTGGCCATCCACTAAGCTATTGAATTTTTATCCATCTTTGTTTTACTTTTAAGTGTCAGCTGACGGAACAAAGTCCCTGTCTTCTAATAAAGATGAGCATTTTGTCCATCAGAGCTTACAGAATACACAGCAACATTAAGGAAGGGGGCTGGTTTATAGACCTGTCTCGGTAACTATGGCCTTTCAGATTAGATAGCAAGGAGGTATAACAAGAAAACATCTCTAAAATATAACTTTTTAAAAAAAGTCTAGGGTTACCATGGTAACGGCGGTCATATTGAAAATAAACAACTTTCATAAAAGTAGAAAGGATTATTTCATTGGAAAACCAAATTTGTTCAAGGGTACAATGATATATATTCTTAATACACAATTTCATACTGTTGGGATCATGGATATCCTGAATAGGAAAAAAGTTGGAGATGGATAACTGACCTACCCCTTAATGTCTCTGAATTCAATTATAAAATGATCCATGTAACTCACTTATGAATTTATCGATTTGCTTTCCCACCAGTATAAAGTTAGGTTATGGGGTGAATAAAAAGCCCTGAAAATTTCATTGGAATCGAAAAAAAATAATTAAAAAGAGGACTATGAAAACTATTGAAATGGAAGTTTTGAGGAAAAAAATGACATTTTGTTACGTAATAGGCAAAATAAAAGTTCAAGGACCGACAATCTGAAAGAAGTTGATTGTAATACAAAGAGTAAACAGTTATTAAATTTACAAGTGGTTGAAGTGTTATAATACGTAAAAATAGATACCATTCATTGACTCAAAAATCGCAAAATTTAAAACCAGACCTCAACCTCGTTTTTTTCTTTCTTCCCTCTAAGTTTGCATGTCTCCTTTAGTCTCCTCCATATTCACTTCTTTACTTCACTAATTCTTCGTTATGCCCGCTTTACTGGAAAAAGAATACATTCTCCACCTTGAGCTTTCATAGCCTCCTCTCTCTCTCTCTCTCTCTCTCTCTCTCTCTCTCTCTCTCTCTCTCTCTCACACACACACACACACACACACACACACACACTTTCTCACTTTCTGCCTCTGTGTCTTTGCTAGATTTTCTCTCAACAAAAGCTTTTCCCGCCTTATGCCACAGTATAGGCCACCAACAAGACCTCTCCCTTTACAATAAAACCTTGGTATAATGTACTAGGCTTAAAACACAGTTTCGAGTCCCACGTAGAATTTTAGCTTTTAAAAATCCTCGTACTGAAAAGCTATAATGTTTACTTTTCATGGGATCATGGTGGTCAAGTGTCTGTTTACAATGCATACTGAACATCGTAAGAATACAGAAAAATAACAAAAAGTAATCGGTTTACCATAGTCAGGAAAGCAAAGTAACCAACTACAGAGAGAGGGCGAGTTATTCTACATCTATATCCACCCATTGCAGCTGTTTTACGTTACCACTCTCTGTGCACAGAGCTCTTGTATTCACTAAGTAGTGCCACTTTGACTTTTGAAACACAGTAGTTGTGTCAAAAACAGGAGGAGGGCAAACATTAGTTTAACAATCTGTGCGTTTCGTGTTGTGAGTTTTGACTTTGTTCATTAGGAGAATTAAAAAAAAAAAAGTAAATTAATTTTAATATTCTACTTCACCTGTTTATTATTTTCAAATTATATTTTGCAAGAGTTAAGTTTACAGCCAATAACTAAAATCCTCTTCACCCCCCCCCCCCCCTGCCCAGACCCCAACTCGATAAATAGGAGCCACCAAAGACCTTTTTCATCAACGCCTTTGTTTACGTCACACTGATCCTTGAACCTACAACCCCTGCTGTTGAAACCCCAAGGAAAAACACAATCCATGGTCATATTAAGAAATTTCTAGCCAGCCTATTATTTTTTCCTCGTTGATTTCTCAAACATAAGCTGGTAGGTGGGCAGCCCGGGGATAATGCTGAACCTGTCAGTCGTTGTCTCTGTAATAGGTCTACACGTCCTAGTGGTGAGGTATTATCATCACCGTCATGATCCCCACCCCTATCACGGCCATTAGTACCTTGTGCATATTGTTTATCTGTATCACTTGGTTTTGAAAAACCCCCAATAAAAATAAAACAACAACGAAAAAACAAAAAACAAAACTCTAAAAAGTAAAAATGAATGTGGTTTCTGCCACTCTCTGCAATAAAGGGATGTAAGAAACAAAGAGAATAGATAATACTTGGTCAGCTCCCCTGTCGGGTTTCTCACGCTGAGCCCAAAGAATTCATCTCAAATACTTTAGCTATGTTTTGATCATCTTCCTCCACCGTCTCCGACTTTATAATAACATAGCTTCCCCTCAACCCCGTACAAAGAGCTCACCTCCATGTTCACATAAGTCCCTTTTCCTGTGGAATTGTTCTGCAGGGAAGAAGACGGACCGTCCATTTCATCAGCTGGAGATACAAAAGAGGTCAAGTGATCTATATCTTCTCATTTCTTGTTCTTCAGTTTTGACACTCAGTTGAAGCAAAGTGAAGGTTCTCAACCCACAATGAGTCCGATGTTATACATTTTCTGTACTGTGGAGTCCACTTAAACAGAACACGGCTAATTTGGAAAAGATGGTAAATAAAAATCAAATCAAATCCAAGGTTTGTTTCCTTTTTTGTCTTTGTAAGAAAATGATTGATAAGCCGAAATGCTCACATTTCTAAACTAAAAAGAATTTCTAGGGTCATGTCGTCTAAATCTCCACTTGCAACCCTCAGGTAAGCAAATCATCATTGCCTTCTTCGCTTCCAGATAGTAGAACAAAAGAAAGAGATACTAGGACCCACTTGTGTCAATTACAGGCCAGAGAAAAACATCACCAGTGTATTATTTGCCTCCACAAACTTACAAAAAAGGCGTACGAACTCTGTCTAGTGATACAAGAATAGCGAATGTAAATATTATGTCTTACGGGCTTCGGCTGGTCATAGCCTATTGTCCCTGTAAAGATAGTCACATATGCCCTAGAGATACACATGAGCACGAGACGGCAAATGGTGGGTTTTATGGTGTCACTGCCATTGGGCATTCTTTCTCACTTCTCTGTAGACTATTCTGTCATCTGTTCTCTGTGGTTATTTGACAGGTTAAGCAAGCTCACAATGTCAAAGAGAAAACACAATGCGTACAGCTTGGAGCGCAGATTGTAATTACCGTAAAAAAAAAAATAGACATAAAAAAGAACTTTCAAATAGTAAAATTTGCAGCAAGCAAGGCATTCTCAACTGTAAAATGCCAATAGTAATCTCTATTTAAGGAACCTCTCTAAACCAAAAACCTCGCTAAATGAAAGGAAATTCGTCGATCGTACAAATTTCAATTTGAGCGAACTCCAATATATTTACCTTATACTCCACAGGCAATCATAATATTCTGATCCTGAAGATAACAATTATTCACATTATCATACAAAGGCGTACTCATCTATGGAAATGACGGACTAAACATGTTGGATTTTAATTCTGCAACTGACCTTAACTTGACTATTAAACCCATTGGTATCATTCCATTATCCAAAGCAATTAGTTATTGTTCCTGTACTTTGAGTCATCTAGTATTTCAAACTGTAGGAGTATATACGAGGAAACTTGAGAGACTGCTAGTATTATCCCAGTCATCTGTCTGTTTTTTTGCACCATATTACACTTCACATAATTTAGTCAGATGAGTGTTTTATAGAGCACGCAACTACACAAGGTCATTTAAAACGGGTTATTTAATTTCATCAAACAGGTTCAATACCACACAAAATAAAAATAAGTTTTACCTCGGTCTTTGTCTACATTTTTATGGACTTCTACATTGTGCAAGTTGAAGAAAAAGAAAAGAAAATGTGCATGAGAAACCCAAGGGAAAATGTACGCGTGGCACAATGTATCTGTCCATAAGATCAGAAAGCATATCAAACTCACTGTTAGAATATTCTGCATCAGGTTGATGTCTCATGTAAGGATCTGTGAAAGAAAGAAAACACATATTAATTACTCAAAATTCTTAAGGGACACTAGGTACAGCTGAACTGAAAATTTTTGTTTGGGCTCTAAATTAAGTATTCTGGGATTCCCAATAACCAACATGGGTCAAGAAACAGAATCATATTATCCCTGTATGATTTCCCTGTCAATTTTCTGAATTCTTGAGATGCAATGGGTTCGACAGACCAAAATTGGCTCAAATTCTACGCGGGGATTGTGAAAAAGATTGAATTGATACAGCCTTGATATTTTCACACAGTGTTTCTGAATATACTACATGCAACGTACTAAAGATTTACTTTCCTTAGTCTCATACTTTTCTTGTAACTGCCCTTTTAGTGTCATATATGATACTTGGACAAAAAATTGATCACAAATCAGAGTGATACCGTCAGTCTTTTTTACACTGACAGAAAACTTATAACAATATCACAATAATCTTTTAGTACATTGCAAACATATTATCTAGAAACAGTCATGCAAAGTAGGATTGAGCTGTGACATGTACTTTCAGAAATATCTCCGCGTAGGTGACCCACCCCCCTAAGAAAATCATAGTTTTGAGAAAACTGAAAAAAACGAATTCATACTGGTCTATTTCAACACAATGTTCAAAAACATGGCATATGTGTATATTTTTCATTTATTTGATATATCTGGAAGATGCACACTATATAAAAATGGAAAACAATTTGATTTTGGAAAAAATATCACACTAAAACCCTCGACACCACCCTAAAAAAAACCAAGCTGATAAACCCTAAAAAGGGTAGAATTTTGATTTTTAGATCAAAATGCCCTTGAATATTATATAGGATGTACACAGTGCCCTGGAATTATACATTTTATACCAAAATGCCCTGTAATTATATTATTACTGCAATCAAAAGAAGAATTGAAATGAAAATCGTAAACACTTGCGCATATGTCATCGCACTGAGGCAACCAGAGTTCGATTCCCGAATGCGGAGACGTTTTTATCAAGCATTTCAATCTTTCTGCTGGGGTACTGTATCCTTCACAGCCCAGGTTAGCCCTGACAAGCAGGGTCAGGAGCCTGCCTCCTAAATGATCTAAATTGAGTCGATGGGACATCGATAAAAAAATTTTTTTAAAATTTCCCCTGCAAACATGCTACATCCCACCATCCTCACTTCACATTTCAAGACAGTCCAAGACAGCCCTGGAATGTTATAACACAGTTAGTACTGTAATCGAAATATAGAATGAAATACAAATCGGTTACACCATTATCTATAGTGCAGCGGTTAGGATAGTCGCTGTCGCACTCAGGTGACCCGAGTTCGATTTCCGAGTGGGGAGAAATTTTTATCAAACATCTGTCTTCCTGCTGGGATGTTGTATCCTTCTCAGCCTGAGTTGGTCCTGACAGGCAGGGTTGAAAGCCTGCCTCCTAATGATCTAAGTTGTGCTGAAAGCGGCATAAAAACATAGGTTACAATTTTTTTTTAAATATAAAAAAACCCGTTCTCCCTACATGCTGCATCCAACCATCCTTACTTCACACGTCACACTTCATGACAGACCAAGATATATGTAAACTTAGTTCTCTAATCAAAACAAAAAGGTGTAATCCAAAGGAAACAGGTGCCTGGCGTCTACCACAAACAACATTGCGAAACAGTCCAGCAAGCATCTCAAGATGGACTGCGGTTGTTGTGAAGTTCTCATTGTGATCCCCTGTGGGTACTTCTGTAAAATTGTTATATAGTCCAGCTTTGTTTGTGAAGCAGTTTTGGAAGATGTCGGTGAGGAAGCTGCGGTATTTTTAGCGACTGGTGGAGTAGTCACTGAGGCAGAGCTACGAGCTGACGTGGTTTCAGCGACTGGTCGTGTAGCCACCGAGGCAGAGTGTAGTCACTGGGGCACCGAAGCAGAGTGTAGTCACCGAGGCACCGAGGCAGAGTGTAGTCACCGAGGCAGAGTGTAGTTACCGAGGCACCGAGGCAGAGTGTAGTCACCGAGGCAGAGTGTAGTCACCGAGGCAGAGTGTAGTGTAGTCACGGAGGCTGAGTGTAGTCACCGAGGCACCCGAGGCAGAGTGTAGTCACCGAAGCACCGAGGCAGAGTGTAGTCACCGAGGCAGAGTGTAGTCACCGAGGCAGAGTCACGAGCTGACATGGTTTCAGCGACTGGTCGTGTAGTCACCGAGGCAAAGTGTAGTCACCGAGGCAGAGTGTAGTCACCGAGGCAGAGTCACCTGTAAAAATATCAAAAGCCCCGTCAGCATGTACAAACTGCAAATGGCATTTATTCAAACTCAAAACATACATAAAATGAATTGAGTGTCTGGGTTAGAGAAGTAAAAACCAGTGTGAGTCTGTTCCCTCAGAGCTAAATTTTATAAAAATAACGATAAACCTACAGTAAAATGACTAAAAAATCCTTCACCATGCACAGACATTCTAAAATCCTAAAATCTAAAATAAGTCAAGTAGATAATTTAGATCTAGACTCTTGATCTAGATCTAGATCTAAATCTATATCTAGATCTAGACAATCTAGATCTAGATCTAGATCTAGCTAAATGTAAGTAAGCAAACACAAGCTAAACCGAGAACCGAGAAAGATTCTAGATCTAGATCTAGCTCTAAATCTATATCTGAAACTGAAGGAAAATAACATGACATCAATCTAAACATAACTCTCTACTTAGATCTGAGAGTTGCTCCTTTTTTCTTCTTTGTTTTTTTAGTTTTTTTGTCTGGATCTGAGGGATTCCTAATTTGTGGTCGAAAAAGAAAGAGCGTGGTTGATCGTTTCTCTGCTTCGAATTCTAATAGTGCGGCTGCAAGATTGGCTTCAAAGACAAAATCAACAACAATCAATGATAAAAAATGCATTTACTTACCTTTGCCTTTACAGACAGGGTTGAAATCAAAGATTTTTGCTGGAAATAAAGCACTTGTAACGCAGTTGAACTGGAAAAACTTGATGGTGGTCACAATTCACAATTGCTGGCTGTCAAGGTAAACAAAGTGGGAATAGCGAACGGAAGTCACCTCGGGGGCATGACCTGGCCAATCAAAATTCGTAGTTTGGGGGGTGTGTCCCAATCAGCCAACGAAATGCGAGAATTTGTTACTTGCACATAGTGTGTGTTTTGACCGGTTTAGGAATGTTCTATCCGTATGTCAGCGTCGAGCAGTTGATGAGTGAATGCGCGAAATGTTGACGTTTACAACGGTACCAAACACTTAGGGGTTGTCGGCGTGTATAAACGGGTAACGGTGGGGTAAAAAAGGTGCTTTTTTTTACCAATGTACCCAAAAACTTGCACAAGTCATGATCTTTTATGCAAATTTTGAGCATTTTATAGATGTTTTAGACACTTGGAAATATTTCCAATCGATAGAGCAGATGTTGTTCTACTAAAATAGCCCAAAATCGAAAAATCGGTTTTAGACACCTAAATCGACTTTTTCTGGCTGTTGGCTACTGCCGTGGTGTTCCTTAATGAAACTTCAACTAATGTAATTTCAATTGCTAATACAGATACACATTTTTCATAATGCTTGACTGGATGGGCCCTCCTCTTTTAGATCAAAATGAATATAAATTGAGTTATACACGATGTAATGACGTTATGCATTGGTCACCCTGATATTTCATGTTCAAGAGCCATGCTTTGGCAACTAAGTAAATCAACGTTCTGATGCACAAAAATAATCTGAACTTTAATCTAAGAAAAAGTATTTTAGAGCACACTGAGAGCACATTCACAAAAGAAAGATGCTTCAAGCGATATGATTCATCCAGTATCCACCCCCCCCCCACCCCCACCTTAAAAAAGAACAACTAAACATAAGAACCCACTTCCAACGCCAGATTGTATATTTGTCCCAACACTTCCACTTTCTTGCAGTCTGTGTCTGCTGCATCCCGAACCTGGTCACTCAAGACTTCTCTCCTCTTCTTCCACACGTAAAAAATCCCCATGGAAAAATCCCCCAAACGTTCCTAAAGATGGTCCATTTTGTAATTGTATTTCTTTCCTTGCCAGCAAAGTTCACAGCAAACATATTTACGGGCAAAAGCTTCTCTGGCTGGATCCGCAATGATGTCATACGTTCCAGGATTGTGGGTTTGACCTTGACCTCCTGGTGCTGCTCTTGACACCGGTGACGTCACCAGTACGTTGTTGTAACGTCCCCCGTCACCGTCTGTCTGTGTGGCGTCAGGGGTAATGATTTCCGCCATGGTTCTTCCAATCAGGACCGGGGTGTGGACGTCCTGTGACGACATCTGGACAGAATCCATGTCCACGTACGGACTTTCTTCTTGGCGGCCTGTGGGTGGAGAAAGGGAAAAGCAGCATGAGAGTGTGACTACAGGACATATTGTTGCAAAGATCGTAGAAGGATGCATGCTTGCATGTCATGGTATTCTGACCCCAAAACGATCTTTTCGTTCCCCTCACCACCTCTATATGCTACTTCATCCCCAACCCCCTCCCACCCCCACCCCTTAAACATCTCAAAAAGTGACCTTACCCTATTGAAAACACTTTAAGTGCATGAGACAGGGACTATTCTGAACTCATTCCCTATGATGCAACACCTGGTACGTTGGAAAATCCAGCACCCTTTGCAGGCACACGGCACAGTGCGTTGAATGGTGTTTTGCTTTTCTTTGAAGGGATTAGAATGATATCACACGTTCTTCCAATCTAAACAAGTGAAAATTGAATCTTGATTTTTAAAAGCTAAAACTCTTCCACAGGAGTCCTTGTGAATTACAGTCAAAATAGTCCAACACAGCCAGCCACAGACAAGATGAATGGTGCATTGCACGGTTTCATTACAATGTTAAAATACGCAAAGGAGGGAAAGGGAAGTTGACGTTTGTACAAGTGATTGTCTTATACATGTGGCACGTCAAGCAGATTCAACAGAATTTGGCGCCTAAAAATTTATGTTTATTTTTCTGTTTGCGCTAAATCACCATTAATTCCAACATTTTTGACTGAACCGCATTGATTTTCAGCCATAATTGTTTACTGTTTGTATATCGTGGCCTCACCCAAAGACACAACAAGGCTCGCCCAATAGAAAGTCATCGATATGGCCGAAACTGGTCGTCTTCAGTCAATGAATTTACTTCTACTGAAGATTTCCTAGCGACTTCCATAGTAAGTCCGAAACACAAACACTTTCAACAAACATAACTCTTGATGACTGGATAATATGTTTTGAAAATTTGAATGGAATATGTGCCTTTCCATTTTCAACAGTATGACATACTTTGTCTTCTGGCTCCAATTTACATTTAACATGATACCTTCTCCTCAAATTATCTCTATGTAAAAGTGGAACAGGCCTCCACAGGGAAGGTGCTTTAGTTACCCAATAAGATTTTGCTAAATAAAATTTAAAACTCATGCTAAGGGCAAATACGTTAATAGATAACATAATATTATAGTGTAAGTTGGTAACTCGATGTTGTCATTAATGCTTTTGATTTAACATAATCATTTAAGTGGATATTGACCATAATCCTTTATTCGTACCTCTCCAATTGAGGTATGTAAAGAACGTCATTTAAGGCAGATTCTGTGTCTTGGAGAGTCTATAACTCTTAGCAACAATGACTAGAACAACAGCCACAACCTGACAAAACTACTACAGCAACAACCACAACAACAAATACAACAATCACAACTACATTCACAACACCACCTGTAACAAAAATCACAACTGCACCAATAACATCAATGACAACAACAACCACAATCACAACAACCACCACAGAAGCATCAAAAGTCACCGGAATATTACCATTTACCAAAGAACCCCCCTCTCCCCCTCACCTGCAGTAGTGCTGGCCTCAGTGTGGTTCCTCGTGCCCCGCCTCTTGTCGTCTTGTTGGTTCGGGTGCGCCGTATCGCTGAGACGTAGGTCAGAGAACTCATAGGGGAGACCGTCTGAGTTTAGCTCTGAGACAGACAAAATATTTTGTTTGTTTTTGATGAGGTAAAAGAATATTTATGGACAAACAAATGGACTGTTATGACGATAATATAAGGTTAAGTACAGTAGGGCTCAACCAAAGGCTTTGGACTTAAAAGGAGTGGGTGGATGGCGGGTGGTCTGGTGTGGTTTGCTCCTTCTTTTCTATCAAATGTCTGTTGTCTTTATCCGTCCTCCTTCTTGTTCGTGTTTGATACTCTCTGGTAACACCTCTAAGCTTTAGCACTTATAGTATGACCTAATTGTGTTGCAAATGCCGTAAAACCTTTACTAAAGCAAAACAAAACTAAAAAATAAAATTCTATTTCAGACTGGATAAGATAAATAAAAAGAATTCTAGATTGCTTATCTGTTACATGGTCGGACGTGGGGAGGGAGGGCGAGGGGCACTGCTTTATTTTTATTCTGATACCATAGTACCAATGGTGAAAAGTTCGTACTCACGATTTTGTGTATGAAGCATGGTATTTGTATGTTAGTGAATGTTAGTGTGTGCCACAGTGTTTGTGTGTGTGTTTGTGCCACTGTGTGTGTGTGTGTGTGTGTGTGAGTGTGTGTGTGTGTGTGTGTGTGTGTGTGTGTGTGTGTGTGTGTGTGTAAAAACAAGTGTACATGTGTGTGCAAGATATATATATATATTTATATATATATACATATATATATATACATAGAGAGAGAGAGAGAGAGAGAGAGAGAGAGAGAGAGAGAGAGAGAGAGAGAGAGAGAGAGAGAGAGAGGGGGAGAGAGAGAGGGGGGGGGGCGAGAAAGGGAGCGAGGATAACACATTCAGTGTGTGCGACAGGGAGAGGGGGGGGGGTTACACAGTTGAAGTCCCCATTAACACCAATGAGAACCGCTGACTTGTCCTGACACAGTCCTACCTTGCTTCTCCTTTGGGTTTCCACACCTGATAGGAAGAAAGCGGAAAAAGTCTCAAAAATGACAACTGAAATATTTTGATGGAGGACATAACCAATATTATAATTCAAATGTAATAATTTCCTTTAATAACAGAATAAAAAATAACCTACCCCTGCCACTCTTCTCCCTGTCTCCCTAGGGAAATAAAAGCACACGATCATGACAGCAACAGCAACATCAACAAAGAGCAATCTTTTTTAATTGCAAGTCACATCTTGACTACTTATTTGTGCAAATTATATTTGGAGTGTATTAGCAGGTGCTGACGTGTCTTGTTTTCACTGCTGTCCTTATGTGTATATAATTAATGTATGGCTGAGAAAGTTTTTTCTCACGTGGTAGAACTAGTTTTCATTTTTATATGAAAATCTTTTGTTTCTGTTATTATTATTATTATTATTATTATTATTATTATTATTATTATTATTATTATTATTATTTTATTTATTAATTTATTTATTTTGTAAAATTATATTACGGCAAACTTACTTGGAGCGTCCAAAATTCTTGGGAAGCCATCCTGTGATGAGAAAGAAACAAGTGGCTGTTTAGAGCATAAATAGATGTCAGTGAGCAAAGACAGAATGCTGTGGTTCATTCTTTTTTCTATCAGACATTGAGGGAAAAAAATTATTGAACCATTTCAGAGAAAGGTAAACGTGTCTAAAACTCCCCAAACAATACTTTTGCCTGAGGACTTTGTTGTTTCTTTTTCTCAAAACGTCCCCCTGTCTTCCTTCATTCCCCGGTTGCATTAAAATCCGCCCAAGGAAAACAAAGTTTTCTAAAAAAATGTCCAATCTTAAAAAACCCCAAAAAGCAACAAAACAGAACAATACATTGAGGGTAGTGAAGTAAAACAACAAACCACATTCCATTTAGACAGGCAGCGTATTTACACAAACACATCCAAAGTGACAATCATGTACATTTGGGACTCAAACCCTGCTTAGACAGCATTGTACACAACAAATAAGTTTCTCTATCTGTATGGAGACTAAGATGTCCTATTGAACTACAGAAACCCTGAACTATTTTTTTAACGTTTCAGAGCATGGGATACAGAAAAGAGATGACTTTAAACAAAACTTCTCATATTCCTCTTACTGACTATCCCTTACCTTTCCTAGAGAACACGCAGTACACAGCCACTGCAGTAATAAAACCCAGGACAAACGCTGCCACGGCTGCTCCAACTGCTACTGCTATAATCTCCTGATCATCACATTGTTTTTCCAACTTCTCACCGTTTGTGCCTCCGTCTTGGTACACAAGCATGAGATTAAATAGAGAAATAGTTGTACTTTAGTAACAAAAAAGACGATACAGGGACGATCATTTTAGAGGAAACATTCACAAAACTACGTGACTCAGTGGGACTGATTTAATCCATACTGACCACACACTGGCAGGCTTACCCTTAAGGTTTTCTCACTCACAGGTACACAGTGTATAAAGCCTATAATTATGCGAGGCATCGTATCAGTCACAGGTACACAGTGTTCACAGTTTATATATGCAGCGACTGTCCAGCAAACACATACTCACACACACACACGCACACATACACACACACACACACACACACACACATACACACACACACACACACACACACACACACACACACACACACCTGTTAGAGACACTATGACTTCTGTCCCCAAGTCGTAGCACCCACTAGGATGTTCTGCCCGACAACTACAGCTGGTCTCGTTGAGACGAACCGACAACAAGGAGGGGACAAACTTTCCATCAGTCACGTCCCGACCCCCACACTGTAGAGAGATGTCGGAGGCAGAGATTTCCGGTAATCCCCCATCGACGTGACACTCCACGCTGTGTTCTGTGCCTGCTTCAAGAACAATGGTGTTCCCCGCACTGACACCAGTGAAGGTTTTACCGTTGATGACCAGTGTAGGGGCCGTCTTGGGAGGTTCTGGTGAGACAATACCAGCCATCAAATATTGCCAATAGGAAAACACGAGTCATGTGATAGGTAATGGACACAAAGAGAAAACAAAAGTCATTATACGTGTTATAAGTAATGTGTACATAGAAAAGTAGTTTCGTGATACCCGAGATAGGTAATATCCATACAAATGAACAAAGGTCCTGATACGTGTGATAATAATATGGAATGTTTCGTTCACGTTGACTGTCTGTGGTCCGATGGTTAGGCTCTTCTCCTATAAAGCAAAACTTTTTTCAACGTACAAGCAAATCTGCTCCAACGGCCAACTGTATAAGACAATCAATTGTACCACGGCCATCTCTCATTTCCTCCCTTGCATATTTTTTACATTAAAACAACACTGTGTATGAGGACTACCAATGTAATATGACAAATTTTCTACTCGACAATTGATGGTCCTCTTCAATAATTTCTACTGTATTTTCATCGGTACATAACTCAGATGTGGCTCGCCACACAGACATTTAAATAGCCCGCCTCCTAAATACAAGATCTACAAACGAAAATTTACATTAGGGCATGTACTTGACATTCCTTATGCTTAGCCTTTCACCTTGAAGGAAAGAAAGGCCAAAGATTGCAAAACGAGTCATAATTTACAAAGAATATTGATGTCATTTGTCAGCCTTCTTCACAGGACCAAGATTCTGTCAAGCCAGGATAAACACTCAGCTCTATGAAAGTAGGAAAAATTTAATTTATTGAACTAAATAGATACAGACGAAATCTGTTCAAGGATTTTATAACAAGTCAATTTCTGGAACTTTGTTTTGAGCAATTCTAAGTAACTCTTTTGGTTTTAGTACATGTACAAACATAATTAGTTTTTTAAAATTAATATTAAAGTGTAATATTTTTATCTGTATTTCTTTTGATTTTAAGGTAACTTAAGTCCTAAAATTTAAATTCATAATTAGTAAAAGCTTCAATATGTGAGTCTGAAGTTTTCCTAGTTCGATATTCCTGGTCTACGATGGGTAAAAGTTTTACTGTTTTTTGTTTCCTTTGGAACTGCTAGATATAAGGAAGCTAACAGTAGAACCATCTTGTTGTGTATAACATGTCTGCTAATCAGATTCTTTTGGTTTAACTTTGTTCCACAACACTCCTCACCTCGCACGTAAACCTGTACAGGTGGAATGTCTCCCCTCAGATCTCCAAAAGCGCTGTTCACAGCGCCACACCGGAACTCGTGATTACCTCCCCTTGTAGGCACAAAGTTGTAGGAACATTTATTATTGTTTCCTGTACATGTATCAAGAGTTTGTGTTCCTGTTGACGTCATAGTGAGGGTAAAACTTGCTGCTGGATAAACAGCTCCCACAGAACATTCCATTGTTATATCTGGTGTCACTGACGGACACAGATTATACGTTCCGGTCTCCCCGGGGCTCACGTTTTTTCTCTCCAACGTGACGCCTTCAGGGCCATCTGGAAGCAGAGATGACCACAGAAAAAGGAAACAATTAGGGAATGAAACAATTATAAACGAAAATGGTACTTGGCAGAAATGATGGGTGAATAGAAACAAGCAAATAAGGAAAGACCAAAGAAGAGCACAATATTTCCTTGACATTACTTATTACAACAACAAAAAATTGGATACAAAAGATATAAGAGAAGAAAAAAAACCTATTTCCCTATCCCTCCTCTCAAGCTCCCATCGTCATCCTATATATATATAAGATACATCAAACTTACAGTTGTTCCCATCTTTCTCAACGTAAGTGCTACCAATAAATACAGTAGGACCAGCTCTAATCAATACCTGTACAAGACAGTGGTATAGACAAAGAACCACTTCACACTTTGCCCCTAGCATGAAATAAATAATGACACTGTCCTGGAGCACCACCTGTCAAAGATGAGCATTTTTGTCCCGGACAATGGATGTTCGTCATGGACAGGTTCAATTGTGTTTTCAATAACAACATACATATACATACAAATCATCTGTGTTTTTAATAACAAATATACATATTACATAAAATTAGCTTGAAAATGGCTGTCAAAGTTTGGTAAGTTCCATAGCCTAAGAGTCCTTGAAAACTTAAAATTTTCGTTTTTTGTGCCTTTAATCAATGGTTTTTTTTAGTCAAATCCACACAAAAAATTTTGCTAAATGGACTTAAAAGGTGTTGAGTCAAAAAAAGAAATTAAAAAAAAATAGTTCATCGGTAAAAAAAAGGCCGATTTCTTTGATTTAATTATTTTGACGAACGCTTGATTTCACCAGGATGCCTCATATAAACATGCATACAAATCATTTGTGTTTTCAATAACAATATACGTTTACATACAAATCATATGAAACACGTGAGTATTAATTACATCAATTCAAAGCAAACTGCAACTTGAGAAAATTAGAGAAATCTATTTCATGGATAGAGACAGACAAAAACCTTAAAATAATGATTTGTACCACTGATCTGGTCTCAGTTAATATTTCATGTTTATAATGAATATAATTTAGTACATATCACTTGTATAGTGTTTAAATGACCAGAGAACGTGCACAACTCACAGGCAGCTTTGATGGTGACGTCACTCCGTTTGTTGTAACATCCACTGTCGTGAGTGGCCGTACACGAGCATTGTGTCACTTGTGACCTAGTTACGACCACAGAACTCACACCAGAGCTACCGACCTGAGAACTAGGACAGCTCAGACGTACGTCACTTGTAGCAGGATATCCCCCTCGGACCACACACTGCACACCGGTTGTGACATTTTCCTTCACCAGGATTTCTCCAGTACTGAGGACCGACGACTGACTCACAGAGATCTCTGGAGGGTCTGGCGGAAGGACTGGGAGAATTTAAAGAAATAAATCTACAAGAACTGAGAGATTAAAAGAAACAAAACTATCTATATGACTTAAGTAAGCTACATGGAAAATATCTTCTGTCTAAGACTGCCATCGATTGTCAAGTAGAAAAATGGGTGTATTCTTAGACAGGTGTCTGTTTTAGGCAGAACTGATCTAAAGGGAGAAAATTAACAAACAGGCCAACTTGTGTAAACAGTGGAACGGGCCAGAAACCTTGATTCTGTAACATGCTGGTCAGCGATTGGTTTATTTATAGGACAGGCAAATTATAACAATTGGTGGATGGATTATAACGCTTGTCCACAGTATCAGGGGCCAGTAAATGCACGCATAATTTAGTGCAAAATGTCTGGCGATTAGAGATTTGCCTGGCCATCTTGGACAGGTTTTTAGGGCTTTTGATAGATAATATTTAGAGATCGCAGCCATATGGAATAGTAATCGTTTTAGGTGTGCCATTACATAGAAAACCTCAAGTTAAGGGGGGGGGGGGGGGGTTGGAAAGTGGCCTTTTGTACAAGTGGTTGTTTTTTAACGGGTGCCATCCGGCAAGGTCAAACAGTGTCTCTGCAATAACAGAGAGATCAGAAGAAAAATGCTCTCCAAAACGACTGAGATGGTAGAGACAAAAAAGTATTATTTACAACAGAAAGACGAATATTTTTACTGCAACACCCATAGTGTAGCAATAAACAACACAAACATTCTTCGGTAACTTCAAATGTGCAGCAAATCTGTTCTAGAGTTGTGAAGTACAAGGGGCTGTGAGTGGTGATTAAATATTGACCAGAAATTCATACCAGGTTTGGTTTATAAGACTACTGTGGCCACGTAAGTGAATCTTATGAAATGAATAATTTTATGAGTAAACAACAAATCCAAAAGCATAATCATTTTTCTCACAATCTCAGACCTGCGACTTTCCCAATGATAAGCATATTCACGACAGACAGCAAAGTGAAGGACTAAAGGAAAAAACAAACCCAGACCTCTGACAATGAACATCTCAGTGACATCAGTGAAGAGATCGGTGGGAAATAACGAGTTCTCGACACGACATCTGACGTTGTGAGCTCCGCGCTGTAACTGTAGAGTCTGCTGTACAGATGTGCCTACTGGTGTACCGTTCACGGAGATTTTGTAGTCTGGCTGAGGGTTTACTGTACTAGGGCCAACAGTACAAGTGGACACAACACTGAGACTGGTGCCTTGACACAAACTGGACGGGCTTGTCGGTGAGAAGGTCAAGGTAGCGCTATTTGGTCCGTCTGTAAGAACGGAAAACGTATTAATATTTCCATCCATTATCCATAAGCGTCTTTTTAATATTTGAATTCTCTAAAAGGTGTTGAAAAAAAGAATGCTAGTTTGCTGTATCAACATAGTTTTTGATAATTATAAAGATATCATATTACTCCTTTACTCTTCTTCCTTTTTAATTTATTTAAGTATATTAGTATGTCTTTTAAATAAGTAAATACGTATTATCACATGTAGAATGTTTTCTTTCTGGCAACTTGTTTCTGTGTGTTCACCTAGTATAGATTACTACACAACACTGTAAACGTTCAGGACGGATCAAATATGACACACACATATACACACACGCACACACACACATACACACACACATACAAACACACATACACACACACACACACA